GCAATAATATATATATTGAATCATGAATTGATCTATGAATGGTGATTATGTTGCATGCTTAAGTTAATTTTTGTTTTTCCATGTGAAATTGATATATATTGAGTACATGAATTAAGTTAAGCATTGTGTAAGAATGAGTTGATTTCATAATTGGATATGTTGATATAGTGGACCATAGATGTTAAACCCAAAACGACTATATTTTACATCCTTATACCAAATTTAGAATAGTTTGGGGATTTTACTATTGTAGGAAGATTTTGAGATAAATGAGGATTCCATGTGTGAAAAAAAAAACTTGTGTAGATTGTATAAAGTGAATAGGATGAAATTGGGTGAAAGTCTCAAGTTAGAAGTTGATTCACTTGGATAGGTGTCTAATGAGGGATATTGCACTAATCAAGGTATAAACTTATAAAAAAAAAATATTTTATTTGAAAATTTCTTTTCGTAGCCTTCATGACTCAAGTTATTAAGTTTGTAAGGGTGTTAAAGCATGTTGCCCTAAAGTCAACTGGTTTGAGAGTTATCGGTCTAAAACTTACTAAAAGGGTCATTTAGAAAGTTTAAGGAGAGAATGCTGCAAATAAAAAAAAATGTTGAAATGAAAAGTGAGAAATAAAATAGAAAAAGCAAGTGCAAGAAATAGAAGATGCACTGAATACCTTGATTAGGTCCCAAACATTTGTTTAATACAATTGACTTTTGATGAGGGATTATTAAACTAGTTGAGTTCTGGAGATTGAAGCAATCAAATTATGGAGAATCCTTATTTATTGATATATTGACCTGCAATTAGTGAGATTTACCTAAACTAGAGAAATAGGGATAGTATTAAAATTCAACCTTATGTCACACATTTAAAAAAAAAAAGCAAAAATAATAAGTTTGGGGGTGTGAGAATCTTACGAGTGATGAAAGGACATATCTGACCATTAGGGGCTGGGAATTGAAGCTACTTGTGAATTCATGATGCTATGCTTAATTCTCCACACACACACGTCAATTTTACATTGGAAAAGTAGATTTTAATTTATATATTGTGATTTTGAAGCCGTGCACAGATTTGATTTTATGATTTCAATCTTGAGATAAAAAGCCAAATTAGCTAGCTAAATCCTTTTACATTGCTTGATTGGCTGACCACCAATTAGGTAATTAGCACTATATGTTTGTGTGTTTGTTCAATTTTAGTTTTGTTTAAGGACAAACAAATATTCAAGTTTGATAAGTGTAGTTTCTACACTTATTTGGAATCCTAAATGATGAATTTTGTTATTCTTTGAACGGGTTAGTACCTAATTTGTCATTTATTGTTTTATTAGGAAAAGTTCATGTTTCTAAGAAAAATTGAAAAAAAGAACAAAAAATAGTTAAAATGAAGCAAATCTAAAGTATGGGGACCAAAGTATAAATATCTAATGGTTGATTTGGACCACAAAAGATACTTTGAAGATTGATAAGAGTCAATTAAATGCAAATTGAAGTAAAAAAGGAAAGGAATATGATCAGAGTATTACCATAAATCGACTTCCAATTATATAAGATATCTTCAAGATTTTTGATCAACTTAAGACCCATTTTTCGGATGGAGAACATTTGAATTGGAAATTTTGTATTTCTAGAAGAGTTGTAGCTCTTTTAACTAGCTTTCCAATGCACTTTGAATCACCTAAATCGGACACTGAAAGAGAAAGTTATAACCAAAATACTGAAAACTGTGCAGAGACAAATTATATGCGTGCGAAGACAACTTTCCTTATTTGATTCAAACTCTTTTGGACGACAATTTGAACGTGAATTTTGACTAATTTTATCATATAAATACAAGATATGGGCAGCAATGAAACGGTCTCTCTCTCACTTCTTCATACACAATAGTTTCATCAAGAATAAGTGGCCAATTACTATATTTTGAGAGAGAAGATCAAGCTAAAGCAAGGAATTGAAGTTCAATTATATCAAAATTTTGAAGAATTCAACTTTGACTTGAAGATCATCTTTTGTATTCCTTCATGATTCGGGTGATATTTTTCTAGTATTCTTCTTGTAATTTATATATTAATATGCTAGGCTAGTTTCTCATTATATTGGATGAATGATGAACCCTATTTTTTGTTTATTTTATTTCAAGACAATTAATTTAGTACTTCATGATTTTTTTCTTAATTGATTTTTCATTCCCATTGAACTATTTAATTACTTGATCACCAATTAGATATTAAGTTGCTTGTTGTAGTGTAAAAATACTCACAATAAGTCTAGAACGCGGTAAAATCAATACGTGGACGATAGAGGAAATTACATGAGACCAGGAGTTTAAAGAGCACAATTCAAACATCAGGGTCAAAGTTTCCTTAAGCAAAAATCAGGTTTTGATATAATAATTTAAATATTAAATATTTCCTTCAATTCATTTTCAAACCCTAATATTTATCCTTCTCTCTCTATCGCATTCTCAACTTCTCTATATCAGAAAACACCATCGAATTTGGCAGCTTTCACGACGATGACGATGTCTACAGCAACCTAACCGGCGGCGTTCTGTTTATCTTCTCTCTCTCTCTACACTCAACCTCACTCGGTGGCTTAGTCGCGCCACTTTTCGATCTTCAAAGAACGATTCGCGATGTTGCAATCTTCGATGCTGACTATTGCCAGCTTGGGGAGGGAGTTTGGGGTTTTTTCTTTCTTTCCGATCTGAGAAGGTTACTGGCAGTGATGGTGAGGGGGTGGACAGTGGTGGTGATAGCGGTTCTGTGGTGGTGACTGTGGTGGTGGATCTGGCGGGTTGGGTGGCGTTTGGATTGGGGTTTTGTGTGGTGGTGGTGGAGGATTTGTGGTGGCGTCTATGGTGGTTGAATTGCTAGTGGTTTGGGGGTGTTTTAGTGGTGGTGTGGTTTTAGGTGGTTTTTGTTAGTTGTGTAGGGAGGGGTGTTGGCAATGATGGTGGATTTGACGGTGGTTTTGTTGGTGGTGCAGGCCGGGGTGTTGACAATGGTGGTGGTCGTGGTGGTGTGGTGTGGTGTTGATGTTGTGGTGCTAGGGATTGTGTCAACATGAGGGTGGTGGCAGTTGCGGTGGAGATTGCAGTGGTGGTGGCGGCAACGGTTGTATGTGACCAATTATTTGGTTATCTGTGACCTAAAAATTTGATAACTTGTGGCTTAAAAGTAATTTGTGACCAACTAATTTGAAAATATCTTACCTAAAAAATCGATAACTTTGATTTAAAAATAATTTGTGACCAACTAATTTGAAAAACTGTGACTTATAATATTTTTTATTTGTGACCAATGAGAGAATCTGTGACCAATTACTTTTATAATATGCGACATTGTGATATTAAAGTATATATTTGTGATCATAAATCTTATAACCGTGTCTTTAATATGCTTCATTAATAAAAATTTTTTAATTAATTAACAAAGACCTAATTTTTGCATTTTAGAACTTTAAGCCTTGAATTTGAATTAGCCATACTTAAAGCATGGTTTATGAATTTTTCCCTGGACAATAATTATTAGAAATAATATCATTGGCATGTACAATCATATGTGATAAATCCTGTGAATCAATGCATGTTTTTCATATGAATTCGAACTAGGAATAGGATTCAGTCGTGTTAAATATACGTTTAATATGTCTTGGGAAAGAATATTGAATAAAAATGGATTGTCGATTGTCTTGAATGCATGAATTTACTAAATTATAAATTAAGAGTTGAATTAAATTGCAATAGAGGTATTCACAATTCCAATACAAATATTCACATATTGATAAATATTTTATTTGTTTTCTTAGTTTAAAATTAGCATAGAAAACGTACAAATCACAACTTTTTTAATTTTATATTACTTTGAATTTAGTAAAAGCTACTTAACTAAATATTAGACATTATTCATCGTAGGAACGATACTCTTAACTCACAAATCTTATTACGTGTACAACGATCTTGTACGTTTGCAGATTTCACACAAACAACAGCGATGAGCATGAGTTGGCAAAATGGAGTAATGTGTTCTCTTGTTGTTTGAGTATTGTCATGGAATTGGTGTTGCCAATTGTTCTGCTGCTGCATTTTTTTTCACAATGATTTATTGGGGGAGGGCCTTGTTTGACTAGCTCGTAGAGGGTCAGCATCAGCATCCTCATTGGGAAACCTTTTCACAATCTCAACGGGGCAAAATCTTGACCCTCTGATAAAGTTTGGATCTTTATAATTTACAGCTACCATAGACACACCCAAGTTGTAAAATTTCAATCTTAATTTCTTCAGAACTCATTCTTGAAGGCTCATGGAACTTAATTTTGGTGATATTGAAAATTTCTAGACGAAGTCAATTGAACACAAAGAAGCAAAGGAGAGATTTTTGGTATAGGAAATGAGCTGCAACCTGTTTGGCAAGCCCCCAACCTGACTTCCGAGCGGAGTAATAATGGCTTCTTCATTTTTTTCTAAAAATAATAACAAAAAAAGAAAAAATGGCAAAACTACCGTTTTTGCATTAATTACCTTTTCGTGAAGGGAAAAGAAAATAGTGGAAGAACACATTTTTTCACATTGACAATTAACAAAACTTCGCTTGAGGAAAAATTTATAAATATACCAATATTGACAGATTCAAGAGATTTTTTTCATTGATTTCACCAGTTTGCACCTTTGGGAGTTCAAAATTCCCTCCTTACCAGGAAGAGATACAGAATTTGTTTAATACGCCCGAGGAAACAGAACATCTCTATCTTCCCTTTATGTATAGAGCATCAGATAAAAAGAGATCAATGATGCATGATTAATCATTAACAGATCATGAAACAAACTGAAAAATCACCACTCTTTGGTACAGTTATTTTGATGCGTGCTAGTAGTAACAAATGGAGAGTTCCCATTAGCAATATCGATGTTGGCCTCCCAAAATAGGATGCGCTCAAAGGTCTTTCTTGTGGTACATGCCAAACATTGCTACTGCATGGAATTTACTAACAAAAGTCTAAAATCATGTTGTCAAAAGTTAACTAGTATAGCTGCATCTGACCGTTTAAATTAAACATCATCTAAATCCAATCTGTTCATACAAAGATAGGAAGCAAATGAAGTTCACAACAATAACCAAACTAAGGAGTACCCTAACATTGATATAAGCTTCAGTATACTTAAAGAGCCACCTATTTGACTAATCTTTTGGCTACTCTACACTTGTGGCATGGTTGGTTTTGAGATCGCAAGTACTGGAAGTTTTAAGGGGAAAAGAAGATAAAATCTTGCTCATAACACTTCAAATACAATCTAGTACTTACTAAACATGCACTCGAAGAGGAAACAGTAGCAAGGAAACAAATATTCAACCTCAAAAAGGCATGCATACTTCTGGATTCCCATGAAAGCCTACTCTGCATCAAACCTAATCTTCTTTGAGGTGGGCTGGTTGCTTCCAACCTGCAAAAGATATAAAACTGAACTGTAAGACAGAATATAAAGTTTCTTTATCTATTTTCCTGATCCCCCACTAATTTTTTTCTTGACATCAAATCAATTTGATTGAGGCATGGAATACGAAACCCCCAAAGATAAAATGAATAGATCCGAGTTTTTAAATATCAGAACACAACATAAGAACTTGTGCATTTAACAGGCCTTCAAAAAATGAAGTCTCTCCATACAAGTAATTTTGAAGTCAAGATTAGATATCACCAAGCAATGAAAGGAAAATAAAATGATAGAAATGAGAATATTCTTACAATTTCCGGGCAATCGTAATCGATGCCGGAGGCCTCAATCCTCTTTCGCCTCTTCCGGTCCCTTTTCATAATTCTTTCTACCAATTTCTTGTGCTCTTCCAAGGTCCTTTCCTAGATATTTTGTATGATTCAATGAGATCATATTAAAATAAGCAGCTCTTGTTAATGTAATTTCAAGTCACGGGTTGTGTGTATATTGCTTTTTCAACAAAAGAAGAATCATATAGTTTATATACCACGTATCATACCTTGTCATGATGCTTCCTTTCAATTTTAACCCAATCCAAGGGTCTGTACCGGTGGGCCACACCTTTCCATCTAAAAATAAGAAATAGAACCATGAGCTTTTTCTATATAAGCCATGCACGATATTTATAAAAATTTTCATATGGTGTATATTATTATTTTCCCCTCTCTTTTCCATTTTTTTTTTTTTCATTCCCTATTCATGTTCTTATTTTTATATATATTGTCCTTCTTTGTTGTAGGGAAGAAGCCAGAGGGGTGTAGAAGTGAAATAGGAAATCCTTTTTATATAAACATCCCTAAATCCACATGGTAAGATAATAAATTACCTAAGAGTATGCTATTATATTCTGGTATTTCGAAACTGGAATATCAACTTCTGGAAGGACTCAACCTCTGGACTTCCTTCTTTGTTATACGTTCATTGCCTTGCACAAACATGCATAGGCTACCATCCCAACCGTACTTCATATTGAATATTATGATTGAACTAAAATATTATCCACGAAATCACAAGAATAAATTATGCATGTTTGAAGTATCAACTTGTCAGTTCTAATACGGAGCCTAGTCCTTGAAAGACTTCTTCCCTTCCGGGACAACTGTCTTCAATCGCTTCAGTTTGAAGGTTATCATCCACGGTTTATGGAAGTTGATATTTTATTTCCTTTAGAGCCTGTTTAAGCCCCATTTTATTGTAAGAATGTATTTTGGAATAGCAGATTGATGAAAAATATGTAGTAAAATAAGACAAGTTTTGTATTTGCCTACAATATTATTTTATTGAAGAACGCGTAATTGAAAAGAACAGGGAGAAAAACATATTTTGAAACTAATGAGAATCAAACAAGGGCTTAGGCTAAATAGATATTACCAATAAATTCCGAACATTTTATTGAAGTGCAATAAAATTTCAGTGGTCATACAAAATTGATTACAGGCAATAAAATAATTCTTACAGCTTCAGATGAACACGCTCAGGAGGAACAAGATGAACTTGCAACAGATGCTCAAACAAAAGATAGTTATGCATGCATTCTGAAACAACTTTTGCAACCTGCAATTTTGAAAACAAAGTAAAAACATGTTGAGACGTTCCTGTGTGCAACAACTTAATCAACATGCACAAGTACTACCTCGGGAGACTCAAATTCAATGAATCCAAAATGCCTCGATTTACCTGTCTGTCAAATAAAAACTAAACAAATTAATACCATCACAAAAAATTGAACAGCAAAAAAACCCCATCATGAAATGCTAATATGTCAAAGAACATTTCTTCCTTTCCAAAAGAAGGGAAGTAATTGGAAGATCACCATGACACCACCCAATGGTATTCAAATAAGAATAAATTTTTATGTCGGAAACAATCCAATCAAACACTTAATCAGCATCATATGTATATTAGAACCAAATTAAACGAATATTTTCCAACAAAATCTTTGCTGCTTCACAAAATAACAAGTTTAGAAAGAAATTGTCACACATCAAAATTTGTAATAGAAGAATTACAAGGCAAGTGTGGCCTTTGTCATCGGGAAGCAATAATAATTTGTCAATGCAAGCATCAAGATGCTTTTGGGGGTCAGTAAGACAATTGGGGAGAAGTACCGGTACAAATACATTCACACATAAACATTCATATTGTAAGATATCAGATTTAGGTTTATCTAGGTTGTTGGGAAAACAATGTGGCATATGTTACAACACGAGAAATTGGAACATGAAGCCTAGCCTAATATCTGAAAAAATTTTAGAGTGAGAATCTGGATATGGTTCACACATGGAACAAAGGCAAAAACAATTGTGCAATGTGAGACACTGGATTGAGTTTGACTAGAATCCACTTCCTCAGAGGGGTACAAATGTATTCAATGAAATGTTCTAATCCAAGATGCTTTGAAAATTTCTGCATGAGGCACAGGTAAGTTGAACAAATGCTAGATTTTCGAGAAATGGTCTAATGAATTATTTATTCTTAGAATCATACACTGACTAACTTTTCTTGCATATTATTTTTACTCACCAATTCTTTGAATGGAGGTAATGGAAAAAATCAAGAGCTGCAAAAAACATTTTAAAGGCAGTAAACCACGATGACTGAAAGGTCGAAAGCAGGAGTCCTACACAAATGTGCCAGGAGAGGCTAGATTTGGAAGCAACTCAAATGTTTTTCTTTAAAATACAACTCCAATCCTGTACTTTTCAATCATTCCTTCTATTATTGGGAAAATTTCTAATATTTGTATGCTGAGGATTAAGGAGCACAAATACGTTATCTACTGCTATTATAGCTGACAAAGAAACTATTACACAACTCCAATCCTGTACTTTTCCATCATCCTTATATTATTGGGAAAATTTCTATTATTTGTATGCCGAGGATTGAGGAGCACAAATACGTCATCTACTGCTATCATAGCTGCCAAAGAAACTATTATCCATTCTTCTTCTAATCCTTTCCGTACTATTGTTTAGCCGCCTGTCTACCGTATTTCTGAGCTACCAACTCCAAGATTCTCTTTCCAAATATTATACATCTCACTTCTACATTAATAGTGAATAAACTTAGAATTAGAGGAAACACGTATTCCATGGATAAACGAAAATTTATCTCACCCTTTATGGAATTCCTTTGCCACTTTAAGGCGATAGATAGCAATGCCTTAAATGTGATATCAGTTAGAAGAGTTCATTAAAACAAATGGAACGTAGCCATTCAAAATCCTTGCTTTATGTAGACAATTATCATACTTGAGTAAAACCAACACAAAGATGAATGCATAACTACTGAAGTTCAATGAACAAACCTTCCTATTCCTTGCTATTCGGAGTCTCTTGATTGTACCAAATTGCTTAAAGAAACCTGCAAAAGTGAATCTCATTACCACCATATGTGCACATACTAAACAAGAGTAAATTCATTTTGAAAAAAATACACCAAACCTTCCATTTCATTCTCATAAAATCCATGTGGGATTCTTCCAATATACAACACAGTTGCTTTATTTTCTCTGTCTTCAATCTTCGGGATCTTCCGCGCTGGACCACCCTCCAACGGCTATTAGTTTCCAGCACAAATAAGCAGACCAACGAACCAAGCAGACATAATAGTAAAAATGCACATTAGAAAAAATAGTAAAAACATAAAAATAAACAAAGAAAACCAGTGCGATTGTACATTCGACATAAACACGCACAAAAAGGACGAATAGAGCATACCACAAAATCAGGACTGTCGCCTTTGGAAGTGGAGAATTGCGCAGACGCCTTCTTCAAATTCTTCACAATTGATTTCTTTTTTGCTTTGGTCCCCATCTCTATATATAGCACTATATGTAAACATATACATTTATTTATCAGAAAATTTTCCTATAAAATGAGTGAAACAAAATTTTCACTTAAAGCAAAAAAGGATAAGGAAAGAAATTAGAGATCTACCTGGTGTTCAAGCGGGTACTACTGTCAGAGATTCGGAAGATAGGGGGGAAAATTGAGAGTGGGGCTGTGCTAAAAACCTAATTGAGTAGCAGAGAAATATGGGCTAGCTTATTCCGAACCAAATCTAGGGATGCAAATATGGGCTTCACCTGGCCGCCCGGATTGGCACAGATGTTCCTTGAGTGGGCCAGATGGCCCACGAGTAACCTGTTTTATTTTTTAATAATAACAAAATACCAAAATTAAAAAGAAAAAAAAAAAAAGAGGAAATTATTTGGACATGCCAAATTGTTTGGTAAGTATACCTTATTACATTCCAATTTGTCCTAAATACCTCTTCCAATTCACTCTCAATACATCTTAGGTGTCTACCAACAAAATACAAGTTGTAATCTCTAAATAGTTGACGAGTTCAAGTTAGTTATTCTAGTTTTCTTGTTTATATTTTCAAATGCTGACTCAAGGAAGATTGGAAAAATAATTTCGTATTGACCTTTAAGGGGGCAAATGTATATAAGAGCCTGTTTGAGCCACATTATTTAAAAAAAAATGCATTCTTAAATAGTGATTTGATATCATTTCAACCACACATTCTTCAATAAAATAATATTATACGCAAATCAAAAAGTTTTCCTTATTTTTTAACCATACATTTTTCATCAATGCACTATTCAAGAATGCATTATTACCAAAATAATGGGGCTCAAACACCCCCTAAATAGAAAAAATTATTTGATTATTTGATTTTTTTTAATTCAATTTTATATTTATATTTACATGACAATTCAAAATGTGATGGTCCATATTTCATTCCCCCTCCCCCCCGCCCAAAAAAAAGTCCCACCAAAGTAACTTCATGTTTGTTACAATATGTAATTCTTTGAATTTTTAGTATGTAAGACTCCAATTTCTCTAACGATTAGGATAACAATTGTAAAAGCTATTCTTTGACCTCAGTAGGAAAACACGATTTCGACAACTTCAAGTTTAATACTTCGCACCAAACATCTTAAATTATATTAAGAACATATTTATTGTGCTTAAAAGAACTTTTAAGTTGACTTATATTTTAAATACAATACTTTCCACAATTTATACTAAAAAATACTTTTTTTCTAGAATGGATGTATTACCAAATATTGTTCTAAAATACGCATGAACCTGCATGTGAACTTGCCATTTCCGAATTCCGAGTACCATATTTGATTGATACTCAGTCAATATTACATTCCAAAAATTATATTTCCTTTTACAGCTAGTTTCTCCATTCACACTATTAATATTGGGACTCTTTTGACATGTATATATGCCATCCTCTGTCAAAAACCAATCCTGGGTAATTCTTTTTCTCAAGGAGAAAAACCCTTATTCCGGAGAACTTGTACATTGCCTTCATCGGGGCTGACGGGGCCCCTCCCCTTTCTGGTTTTGGTTTCGGTTTCGGTTTCGGTTTCGCTCTGCAGAATTGCTTCCTTCTATCTTCTGTTCATTCTTCTTTGCCAACTTACTTGCAGGAAAATGCAACCGAGCCATTAGAGGTCTAGGTACCCGCGATTTCTGGTCAAAACCTCTAACACAAACAAATCCTGCAATAAGATTTCAAATGACATTAGGTGCAACTAGACAATATAATAAACAAAATCATCGTATTAAACATCCATTTGATGTCAATTATTAAGAGCTTGAAAGCAGGGGCACATATTCTGTCTACGTTGTAGCATCTTAAAGATGTTCGTATCTTTGACTTCTATTATACTGTTAAGCTACATGCGTCCCTCCTTGTTTTCCCCTACAATCTATTTCTTTTCCCTTCTTTCAGGTTAAATAGTTCATTAGTTTATTAAAATTCTTGGTATTTTCATCCGGTCAAATATAAACTATTTTACATGATTGTGTCATCATAAGAGACAGTTCATACCTTTCCAGAAGCAGTATTGAATATCTTCAGCTGACAAACCTGGCAAACACCAATATTCTTCCCTTATGCAACTTTTTCGTTATATCAAGCTATAATTTAATCACAATATGTACCTTTGAAAATGGTAGAGACAGAGGTGCCGAAGAAAACTGTTCGTCTTGGCAGGTTCCATAGCAAATTTCTTGGAACATCAATAGGATTAAGACTGGATTCATGATCGGCGAATACCTGCAAAAGCATTAATCGTGCATCATAATCTCCATTTATTTGATTCATAAAGATGAGAACATAATCCTCTCCTTATATAATGGACAATATACTCCCTAATACAGAATCGTGAAACCTTTAATCAATGACTAATTATACAGACAAATTATCCAATAATAAGAATTAATTTACCTCATTGACTTGGAAGTATGTGCCATTGAGTGGGAAGCTACCTCTCATTGCTGTTCTGCACGGTATCTGCAACATGATTAGTAATTTAGCTAAAAAGGTCCTCAATGCCTATGGTTTTGCTTTTATTGGTGATAATTATCGTTGGGTATATCATTCTTGTGCTGCTCACCAGAAGTGTGCCTCTCACTGTTTGTGATTGTGTTTCTCTTACACTGTTGCATGAAAGGCACGTCTTCTTATCGCAGAGTCCCCCTAAATCTTGAGGATTGCATTTACTTTCAGGAGGTTGAATTGAATCTGCGGTTTCACCTGGTTCGGATGATGCCAAATTGGGTCAAATGGTATACAAAAAAGAGAGCACAACAAATTTCACCTGGTTCGGACGATGCCAAATTGGGTCAAATGCTATGCAAATAAGAGAGCATGACAACTAACTACATTTTTGTCCCCATCTCCTGAAAATCTGCTCTTTTCGACTCAAATTAAACTTCTCAACACCTTATTTAACTATCGACAAAGCTATTTACATAACATTAATAATTCAAACCAAATAAGAAGTTTTGGAGATTTTAAACCCAAACCAATAAATAAGTGGCTCCAAAAAATGTCACCAATGACATTCGATTAAGAACAGAGTATCAAAGGGTTTCAGCCTTATTTCACCACGAGATACCATCTTAGTTATTATTTGGATATTTGGGGTGCATAGAAGTGTTTCAGCACCCTGTAACTCTAGTGCTTACCGGGTGTCCATATAGCAAGAAGGTATGGACTAGGATCATCAAGCTCTCGTCTGTCCAGCTAAAGTTAACAAATTTCATGGTCAGTGGGAATTAATTTGCATATGAGAAAAAAATGTAAGACTTAAAAACATAGAAAAAATTACTAACCCCTTTCAGAAGTGAATGTGAATCTGGGAGTTCATACCTGCAGCAAATTAAGGTTCCAGAAAAAGATAATCAATATTGCACTTAATTTTTAAAATAATTGGTCAAGTATCAGCATAAATAGGTTTATTTAGGTGGCGAAGAAGTTCATTACTGAGTGGTTATGATGCAGGAGGTTGTGGGAGGTGTAACTGGTTTCTACAATGATGTCTAGTGATTGAGTAGAATGAATACATTTCTTTCTGACTAGAAAAAATATATAATAGTTTTAATTAATGGTCAGGTGGATGGTTATGTATTAAGTTGATGCTTGGCCCAGTGTGGTGGCTTACATGTTTTGTTCCAAAACAGAACTTCAAAAGATAACAGCTTAAATTGCATGTGCATTGTAAACATTTTTGTTTACTAAATGTGATATGAACATTTGTCTGGTCACACTTCATTTCTTGTAGAATTTCACACTTAATGAGTTCTGATACTTACACTTGGTGCTCTGTCCGTAATCGATTCACATTCTTCAGTTTGGGCATTGGAATAGCAGCAAGTTCTGGACTCAAAGCAACCAGGGCCTTGGACATATCGCCTTTTTGCATTTCCATGCTGTGTTCTTGCATAAAGCTCTGCAAATTTGTGGTGAATTGTTCTATATTGAGTTCGATGGTAGGGATTTCATCGGGATCCTCATAGAATGCATCCTCAATGTCAGTTTCCGATACTTCTGTAAATTGTTCTGGTGTTGTTGGTTCTTCAATAATAGGATCACGTGATCCCATACTTAACCCTGTTTCTCTGTTTAAGTTATCCTCCAATGGAGGTAGTGGCAAAGGTCCTAATGTTATACAAGAGTTATCTGCAGTTGTAGGTGCAGCTGAACTCACTATACGTCCCTCTTCTGGTCCAGGAAGAGCAAGTCGTGCACTGTACCAAATGTATGTATTCATTATATATGGGCATGTACATTTCTTGAATTTACGTAAGGTCAATTTCTGATGAGCTTTATGTTGTCATTTACAAGTGTACATGATTATTGAGAAGATGCCTAACCTGGCAAAAGCGCTGGCAAAGTGTCGGCATTCTCCTCTCATTGGGCATGCATTACAATTTGGCTCTCTCTTTGTGCAGAAAACCTGTATTTGGTATTAAAAAAATATTACCCGTTAAAAAGTCCTTTCCACATGGTCAGTGTAAATGATTTCTAATATGTACCAAAAGAGAAAAAAGGATAAATGATTGTAATGACGTGAAAATGAGCTCAAAGGAATGTGAGTTCATACCTTCCCAAATGTAATCATTTGATAGTGTAGTTCATACCTGTAGTTCCATTGTATATTATTCAGTGAAACATCTAAGGGTATGTCATGACAGTCTTTCACATGGAATGCTTATGATGGAGTAAAAAGTAATTCTAATTAACAGAGTTGTTCGGAGCAAGTAAATTACAAGGTTTTCTGATCCAGGTTACAGAGTCTGGGCCAAAGATATTTCTGTATTGATTCCAGCACTGGATATCTGCTTGGAAACACGATTGATATTAGGAATGGTTAGTGAAAAATTTGTTGGGTATGAAAAATATATACTCACAGTTCAAGGAGATGCAATTGGAGTGATTCAGGAAGTGGTTGGAGAGGAACCCATCCAAGTCGCACAGCAATTCGTCCAACGTTTGTGTCAACCTAATAAACTGAACAGTTAGTGCAACAATTTATTTTCCTTGTCAGTTATAAGAGATCCATATCTGGTAATTGTCCTTACTGGGAAAGCAAGATGATGAAGTGTTAAGAGGCGTACACACTCCACACTCTTTAGCCCCAGTCCTCGTATGCTTAATAGATAATCTCTACAAGACATTGTTTTTCATTGAAGTTGGAAAGTGATTTTTGGAGATGGATAAATATTTTGATTAATAAATGGTTGGATTAGTTTCTTTGAGAAAGCTTACTTGGATTTGTCTGGTGGAAGATATCTTAACCATTCTAGGTCGATTCTTCCATGTTCTTGAACCAACCGATCCAGAAAATCCTGCACAGATATGCACTCAATATTGCCTTGGATTTTGGGTTTTCAAAATGTAGACACTTCTAGTGGAGTATTATTAAAAATATTCTCTATACCTTAATTCGCTCTGCTAGCATGTTGTTCATCCCCCTTTCCTTTATTGTTTCAGAAATCTCATGAACATTAGCATTTCTTAATCCTACATAGTCCAGAGAATCCATTGTGTCCTCGCTTCTTTCTGGTCGTCCAACCTTCAATTCAACCTGCTTTCTCAAGCTATCCCAATTAAATGCTTCCATCTTATCCTTTTCAACTTTTCTCTTTCTTACATTTGAGGTTCTGGCACCTATCTGATTGGACGGTTCCCTCAAAGAGGTGACTTGCTCGAATCCTTTTGCTTTAGTTCCATTTGCCAAGTGTTTCAGATTATCTGCAATAGTTTTCACTTCGACATCAAAATTTCGTACTGTTAAACTAGACAAGTGAAGGTCTTGCTGTAAATTACCTCTAGGCTTTTCACTAAGCACTTCCGCATGTCTATTGGGTTCTGTCACAAAGATTCTTCCCGGCTGAAATGTCTCATGCCTCCGACCCTTTATTGTGTGGGACCCTGCTGGTAAACTGATTTGCTGTTCCTGGTGCAAGTTTGAAATTGTATGGGCTGCTCTTGATTCTTGAAATGTTGGTATTCCGGTCTGCTGGGCGATGAAACTACTTTTTGCACATGGACCTACACAATCCCATGTATGTCCTGCACTGGTTTCCGGGGTTATTTCAAAAGCTGTTGAAGTCAAAGAAGACATGCTTTCTTTCTCTGCAAGTCCAAGGAAGCGTGCTTCCCATTCTTCCAAGTCTGTTGTTGTGCTGAACTGATTATTAGTGGACAGAGGAACAAGCGTCTGATGATGCATCATGTTGGCAGTGAAAGGACAAGCATGTGGTACACTGCCACTATCTAGTTTCAGATTTTGCCTATTAGTCACTGGATTTTCTAATTGCTGATTACCAAGCAAGGTATCTGGAAATGAACTTCCCGTCTCTCGATACTGATACTCCTGGAATGCTGGGATTCTTTCAGCCTGTTGGAAAGAATTAGTACTATATTTTTTTCTGAAATTGCATCCATTTATTTGGTCTTCAAATGCAGAATCAGTGGCTAAGAAAAAGAAGGTTACCATAGAACTTTCTGATGACATGCCATCTTCATCTTTTCTTCTGTCATGCCCATTGGTTAAAAATCTCGTTTTTCCTATCTTGTCATTTTCTGCCCCATGTTCACATGCTTGCCTGGATGTTACACAGCTGAAGTTGTATACTGGGTGCCTTATCATTCTGTGGTCATAAATCTTGTTTCGGCCAGGATACTTTATTTGAACCTGTCTTCCTTCAAGCAATGGACTTCCACCATTTTGGCAGCATGTTGGCCTGATAATGGTTGTTTGGAGAGGAAACTTGGCTGCAAGAGACATGTAGGCAGAGCTGCACGCAAGGGAAAAGAAAATACAGTGATAATTAGCTCCTGTTAATTTGTTTTGCCCCTAAGAATCCTGCCAAGAAGATTGATTTTACCTTGAAAGATGATCTGACACATTCTGTGTGAGAAACACTCCTATTACTGAGTCTACTACAGATCCTTTCCATCTAGAGAACCTTCTATCTCCTGCAAATATTCCAATCTTGTTTCAAGTTATCAACCATCACTTCATGCATTTTGGTCAGGTAAATCAAGATCATTTCTTTTTAGTTAGTATTTGGTACAATTTATGCATTTATATGGTACACGTGAAAAGAATAAATCGGCAACTAGAGCTGTAAAAAAGCTCATTAATATGTCTTCCTTTCCATATTTAAAAGTAACCAGGCCAAAAGAACACTTGATCACCTGTCAACGTTAAAGCTGCAAGAAACTCATAACTTATATCCCATGTTTACATGTGAGTCTTTACATGATGGACTATGAGCTCGATCAGTTAAGTCAGAGAATATCTTCAAAAGAATAATTTGTTCACTAACTGGAAAACCATCAATAGAATTGTTTGTTGGGGAAATTTAATAGGTTCCAAGGGGATCAGTGTAACGACCCAGTGATGCAGAAGCATACAAATTGCAAAGCAGTGTAGGAACAGGTCGTGCGAGGGCAAAACTGTCTCCACAATGGGAAGGTGGTGGCTGCAAACTGGAGAATCAGTATGTGTTACCACGATGCAACCAAGGAAACTGGAACCTGTCTGATGGGAAATTGAAGTGGCGACGTAGTGACAAGGAAGGCAGTAGACGAGCGGTCGAACACAGAAGCGGTGAGAAACTGGTGTTGCAGTTGAAGCCAACTGAGGCAGGTGCAATGGTTATGAACGGCTGAGCTATCAGCAGCAGAAGGGAAGTTGAGGGTGTAGGTGGCGGCGTACGACGGGCGGTGATGGTTGGTGATATTCTTCCCTTTGAGACAAGTGGTGATGTGGACAATTAGGAAATAGAGGTGCAGTAGGTGACAATGATTCGGCTGGTTATTGCGATCTTGGATTGTGGCTGTGCAGGTGGCTGGCGTGAGCGGGTTGATAGGAGCGTGGTGTGGTAGGAGAGGGTTAGGTAGTGGGTTGGTTAGAGTAATTGGATGGGGTTAAATGGGTTGTGTATATATCTTCTTGTTGGGTTTGGGTTAGGGGATGGCATATTGGGCTATCAAGATGTTGGGCCAAAAAATTAGGTTTTAATGACAATGTTGGTGGGTGAGAAAGGGTTTTGTTGAACAGAAAAAGAACCTTTGAGCGGCAAAATACCGTAACTTTTTTTTTTTTTTTTTTACTGATGAAAAAAATGAATAAAAAACTGAATATGGGGCGTGAACAGTAACTTTTTTTTTTTATTGATGAAAAAAATGAATCAACAATTGAATATTGGGCGTGAACGCCGAACAGTAACTCTTTTTTTTTTTTTTGATAACTAATATAAACTACTAACAAACAAAAAACTGCTGCTGCGTTGATACAATTTATTTTGTTGTCCCAAGGGTTGAAGGTTGTGTTTTGAAGGTGGTTGTAGAGCTTGAAGGTCGGTGGAGGGCGGTGTATATGGATTGGATGGAAACAGTTTGTGGAATTGAATTTGAGCTAGGCCAAAGGAAAATGAATTGCTCTAATACCAGATTGATGCAGAAGCATACAAATTGATAAGGAACAATAAGAAATAAGGGAGATCAAAGGGAAGAATTGAGGGCAAGAAATACTTTTTTCATATAATTCAGGTGTGTCCATAAACATTGCCCTAAACCCTTTTATATAGGAAGGAGTTTGAAATTAAATGAACTTCCTATCTAAACTTAAAAATAAAAGAGAACATTATCAAAATAAAACTACTAAATAAACTCGAATTCTACTAATTATTAGTCTTTCGCCTTGAATAGACGTTTAATTGTTTCCTTATTGCATCACCCGGCCTCTATGTCTAAACCGCTATATCATGCATATTGTCCATTTCGGATGAGCGTATGCCTGCTTAACCCCTCAAGGATTTCTATTGTGCCCCAAAGATTCGATCCATGACATTTCCCCAAAAAGAGAATTAAGTTGGATCCTAGTATCAATTAGATTCAACTTAAGTCTCTCTTAAGAAGGAGGTCATGGGTTTGAATCATGGAAACACAATAGAAATTAGTAAGGGGTAAGATGAGTTTAGACTCTCATACAGCGGATAGTACGTATGTTAACGATTTGGGCACAGAGGTTGGGTCGCTACAATAAAAATCCTACATTTGAGAATGATGAAAAGAATATATACTCTACAAGAACTATACGAATCCCACATTGGAAAAAGATAAGCCCATAAACATAAAATAAAGGCTTGGATAAAATATAGTTTAAACTAATTATAGTAGTAAGTGTAGAATATGGCAAGGTACAATTAAGTGCGTTTGGCCTCTCATTAAGCATGTGAGAGGTGAGCCGCTAGTGGTGTATTTTGCACTCCACAATAGTGCGAGGTGCACTTGACGTGATATTAAGTTTTTTCAGTCATTGATTTAAAGTGACCAAAATGTTAAATCCAAGGATCAAAGGATATGTGTGTTGGTTAGATGCAATCTCAACGGTTAGATTAAAACATTAGTTGATCATCAGCGATCAAGTGATTTAATCACCGTAACTATCAACGATCAACTATACAAACAGTCATACACATGGTTTATATTAAAATATATAATAAAGATAGTTAGGTGTACTCAAGGTTCTAGTAAATCTTTTCAATCGTTGATTTGAGGTGATCATAAAATGACGAAATCATGTGGTGGATCAGATCAAAGGATGTGTATTTTAGCCAAAACAAAATCTACATTAGATTAAAGTGTTAGTTGATCATCAACGATTAGCTTATTTAATCGTACAAAGAGAATGCACAATAAAAAGCGAGAAGTAAACATGTAGCAAAGGTGTGTTCACGTATAGAGAAAAGTTTTAAAAAGATAAAAACTAGAGTAAGGTATATGTGCGCATTATGCAGACTGGTAAGACTTAACATTTTAATCGGTACCCAACCTTCCAAATTGAAACCGAGAAATAATCGGGTCCCAAAAGGTTCTTAGTTCTTGAACTGGAATCGTGGGTATCCAACTTTGAAACTAAGTCATTTTTATAAGTTTTTTATTTTTTACAATTATTCACATTGACGGAATGACCCCGCTCAAGAAGTAGCAATAAGGTCCTAGTAGTAAGTACATATATCAACCAAATTCATTCATTTAAATGATTGAATATCACTCTCGTTTATAGTCACTCCTGATAACACTTACGTATTGCCTGTCCCACAAGCTTTTTTGAGGGAACACAACAAAGTCATAGTCAAAATTAAATACTTTATGCTAGATATTGGATGCTATTAGGTGGAATATTTGCAGTAGATTAAGAAAGTGTTGAAATATATATTTGATGACATCTTATTTCTTTTGCTAGTTATTGTGAAGTTATTTTATATTGTCAGTTCATGATTTTAAAAAAAATATCGATAGAACTAAACCCGAATCGGAATTGACGGTTCGGGTTAGTTCCAGTAACTATATGGACCAAATGATTTTAATTACGAAATACTCGAAGTGTAATGGATGTTCTGAGTATTGAAATACCGGACCGTACCACTCGATGCCTAAGCCTATCGATGGTTATTTTTTGGTCTTATTAAAGTTACATTAGTATTTTGTAATTGGAATTAGAAATCCATTGATTCGTGTAATTAGGGTTAATATTGCAAGGGTCATTTTGCAATAGGTCAAACCTTCCCACAATCTAACTCATTTTGAATTAACAATCAACCTTGTTGAACAGAAGTTTTGAACAAAACGAAAAGCCCAATATTGCTATAGCGCTAAAAGAAAAACATGTGATAAAATGAAACGATTTCTCTTCCCTTCCCCAATTTGCATTGAGGTTCATCTACGTCTAAAATTAATCTCACTGTCTCCCAACTTAACAAATCTACACAAATCTATCTCTTCCTCTCCCCTTTCTTGCTTTACCAAGTGTCGATTAGCATTTTGTTCATCGATCTATTGTTTTCTCTTATTTTCTTTGCAATTTCTCCTCTTTATTCATACAAAACGGGTAGGTTGTGTTGACGACTAGAGTGAATAAGAAAAAAGGGGACACGCCAAGTGGCAAATATGACACATCCAACCGTGCCCAACGTGTGTTGGTGTACGACACTCTGGCCTTTCCATGCATCAAATAACGTGGGTGATTCATAAATTTAGTATTTTAATTTTGTGTAGGGAGAGGTTGAGAGAGTAAGGAAGCTCTTGTATTATGATATTTATTTAGTTAATTGATTTCATTCTCTCAGTAGTTTGTCGAACAAACTTTAATTCATAATTCACTCCTCTTGCTCATTTTTCATTTTTATTTCCACTGCTTTCGTTGCTTGTTTGGGAGATTTTCCAAACAAGTAGAAGGTACTGAAGACTCCAATGACTACTATTATACATGCCATTTAGTTTGATAACCTAACATATGAAGATGTAAAAAGTTATGTTACCTTTTGGAAAGAGGTGATTAATGATAGAATGGATTCAATAATGAGTAATAATACATTGAAATCAATTAATCTTCTACCATGATCAAACCTATTGGTTGCAAATTGATCTTCAAAAAGAAGGTGAAATTTGATAACCTTTGAATGAGTTTAAAGCAAGACTAGTAGTTAGGTTTTATATGAAAAAAAAGGCCTAGCCCCTGGTGTACTAGTTACAGGAACTACTATAAGAATATTAATTTCTCTAGTATCAATATATAAATTTGAAATACATCAAATGGAAGTAATAGTGTTCCTAGATAGAGAGCTAGATGAAGAAATTTATATTGAACCAAAAGAGCTTGTTATAGTTGAAAAGAGCACAAAAGTGCAAATTTAACTCACAATATGGACTTAAATGGGCTCGAAAACAATAGCACGAGAAATTGATCAAGTATTATTAAAGTGATGCAGAATTGATTCATGTGCAAAAAGCGAATTTTGTGACAATAAAGGTGTTACATCTGTCGGCGGACGAAATCTAATATTTGGAACTGAATAAGAAAGCATTAAAGATATTAAGCCATTATCGTCATCTATTAGGTGTTTTAGATGTGATGTCAGATATTAAAATTTTTGGGGAACATAGTATCATGCTAACCTAATCTTACTGAGCCCTCATTTGGAGCAAAAAACAAAAAAAAACAAAATTTTGACCTTTTTGGGTTAGTTGGAACACCTATGAGAGTGTTGGTCAACAAAAACGCCTACAAATGGGTGGCCAACGGTCCAAAAATTGATTTTTTTGCCCTAAAAATTTCCTCCAAACAAGGGCTAAATTGAAAATCTAATGAGAAAATCATTTTCATTGCAAGACAATTACCACAACTTTTGATTCAAGTATTAGATTATATCCTAATACTGGCTTTGAGAAGTCTCTTAATTGGAATATGCTCGAGTTAATGGATGCTCTGACATCAACTAGATCCTATAAAGCTTTTGGAGTCAAGGAAATTGAGCATGTTACTAGTAAGTTGCAATGGGAAGCCTTATATAGAATATTAAAACACTTAGAATGAGCAATTTTATTATATGGTCTTACAAGGTTTCATCCATGCTAGTTAAATTGGTCATAGAGATTATTGCTCGTTAACTAGTGGGTGAATATTCACATCTGGTGGAATAATATATTGGGCTCTAAGAAGAAAACGTAAATACACTATGACAATTTTATTTGTAGAACTTTCTTTTTCCAATAAAGAAGCTCAATAGTTAAGAATTTATTAATAAAATTCTTATTTAGGCAAAGTTGATGCCACCTATGCCTTTACATAGGGATAGTGAAACAACATTGTCTATAGTAGAATATTGGATGAAGGCACAGTTCAGTATGACAATTGCTAGCTCATGGTGTAATAACCATGATCTTATTAAGTCTAGTCAAAACTTGACAGATTCATTGGTGAAAGGCCATGCAACACGTCTGGTTTGGAAACTTCAAACTAGATGGGACTAAAGCCAACAAATAATTACCAATGATGGAAACGCAACCCAACACTTGAAACATCAAGATCTCATGTCAATGAGTAATGTACATTGCAGTAATGGTAGCATGCACTATACATAAGTCCTTAAGAAAAAAGGCTTGAGGCATGTAACAAGTAAAAGGATAAACTTCTTTGGAGTATGCAATTAAATAAATATTCTTTATAATTCTTCCTACATGAGAGTCGGGGATGGCATTGTCTCCTATGTGGCTTGGCTAGTTACTTAAACCCATGGAAAAACCAGGACCTTAGACACATGGCTAATTCACATGTCAAACATGTGAACTTGCAAGAATTTGAAAAATCGTGCATGTAATTTTTTCAGTTAATTGTTAGAATTTTGTCTCCCTCTACCATGTATGATGATTAACCTTGAAAGTTTTCAAATGAGTGAAATTTCAAGTCCAAAAGACTATCTAAGCATAAGTCTTGAAGCTGAAAACATAGATATAAAAAAATTAGTTCATTTGGAAAAATGGTTGCCGGTCGTTAAATAATATTCTCCAAAAAGATTAATTTGTTCCCACATTGGAAAACCGTCAAATGGTTAGTTGGAAAAATTTAAAAGAATGCAAGGGGGTAAGAATCCCATATTGGAGAAAGATGAAAATAATAGAAAATTATAGAAGTATAACAGGACTCCAAGGGATGAGAATCCTCCATTGAGAAGAGATAAGCCCACAAATCCAAATTATAAGAGATTGGGCTTAAAATAGTTTAAAATATTAAAGTGGCAATTATGGCGATGGTAGTCGTGCACTCTGCATGATGCACAACGAATTGGTGAAAAGTGCACTTGAGATTCTATTAAATCTTACAATCGTTGATTCAAGGCGATCATAATATGATGAAATCAAGCAGGGTACCAGACCAAAGATGCGTCTATTGGCCAGATGCAATATCAATCGTTAGCAATAGGCAGCACTGTTACTCTTTGTTTCTTATAATAAATAACTACTGAAATAGCTTTCGCAGTTCTATTGCATACATATAAATAAATAAATAAAATTTCTAATTTTCATTCCTTTATGTTCTATTCCAAGTTTGATTTTTATTAAACAATTCACTAAGCGGGTATCAAACGTGCTGAGTAAAATGTAAAAACCGTAAGTATTTGTTGGATTAGAGAATCGTGGTATAAAATATAATTGACTAGCATAAGCATGACATCAGTAATTATGTTAAATTTCAGAGTTCTGCATGCAAATACCTTGAACAAGATGCATCCGTGCAATGAATGAGTCTACTCGTCCATGGAACACTTTCCTTTCCCCTTCCCACCTTTTTTCTCTGCCCTCATCCATCGTTTCTGTGCTTTCACTTCCTTCCTTCCCCATCAAAAGGTTCCATAATCTGTTAGTCTCAGGGTCAAGATCCACTTTTGGCCGTGGCTTGTGTTTCCTGAGTGGATTGAATTCCGCATATGGAACAATTACACTGTCTCTTTTGTATGGTATGAGTGCACTTTGCTCTTCCCCAACAATTTCCTTGCCATTATTAGCAATGTGTAGATCTTTAAAATGATCTATAATTTCATCAACTGAAGTTATATGTCTCAGTTCCTCTAGTGAGCCTGCACAAAAATAGAAAATCTGCTTTACTCTTTCAAATAATAAATTTGTGTAAGAGCCATTCAGGTTGATGCTAAATGTATAGCTTTTGCAACATATGGCTACCGGCAGGTTCTTTGTTGGGATATCCTCGTGCACTCCTGCCCTCTTGCTTAAACACTTGGTCCATACTGAATGCTTGGCTGGAGAATGCTGGTCCGGTGGTCTGTTTTTTCACTGACAAAGGAGAAGGAGAAGTTATACTTTGATTTCCTTGGGTTGACACAGGATCTCTCTGGGATGGATCATTCAGATTCCAATTAGAAACTGCAGTCTGGTTGTTGACACTTTTTGCTTCAGTGGTTTGATGGAATTTCTTCTGTTCAATTTGTTCTGTATAAAAATGCACTTGCGATAAAGTATGTTGCTGCCGAATCTCACTTGTGACCTTGCTGACTACATTGTTGGTGTTTTTTAGTTCAAGCTCAGGTTTTCGTAATCCATAATTCAGGTGTGATATGGAACTATTTTCATGGACACTGTCAATGCCTCTTCCTTCAACCTGCCTTGAGCAATCTTTAAGAGTTGTAATACAAGAGGGCAAGTAGGTTGAGGTTCCGTCAAATTTACCCTCGACCTTCTTTTTCTTACAAGTTCCTGAACTTAATTGCCATAATTTGCAGCTATCACTGCTATGCTGGCCCGTCTTAGAAACTCTATGGCACAATTGTTGAGAGCCTGTCTTGACAATTCCAGGATTTGTCAGCTGAGTGTTGGAATATTCTCTCTTTGATCCTCGTTCCTCAGTTATATCCACCAAATCTTCTAGAAGTCGAGACCTACTCAGCCGCATCAATTGCCTTTCTCTATCAAGCTTCGCTTTAGTGGCATTTGCTTGGATAACAAGCTGGGCTACTCCTCCACTGATGCATTGATTTACCTGGTTGTAACCATTCTGGCTGCCTCTCTGGTTTGTTTTGCCATTTCGCATATTCAAAATCCTTGCTATCACATTCAAAGTGCTGTCCTTTGCTGTAGTTGGTGGTACTACAGATGCAAGAGGTAATGACACTTGAGGCAGGATTTGATTAACAGAGCGGATGGAAGAATATAAATTCGCCGATTCAGGCTTCTCCAAGCTGTATTCTTTTCGATGCCCTTCCTTCACTTTAGATGTTTTAGATACCGCATCGAGTCCCAAGTACCATTCCGCATCCTGAGAATCTAAATTCAAATTGAAAGGCAACTTATTTTCATTATTGGTCTCTGCCTGCTTACCACATGTTCCTTCCTTGCTTTCCTTTTCAACTCCATTTTCCAATTCAAAATTTAATACTCTCCTACATGGTTTTGCTGCAGAGCTAAGATTAACAACTTTGACCTTATTTTTTGCATCAGTCAGTTGAGTAGATGTCTTGATGTCCTTTTTGGGTTTATATTTCCTTTTTCCTGGAGTATTTTCTTTGGGAGTATTATTGTTCGTAGAAGCAGGTTTTGGAGTCCTTTGGGGTTTCTGTTCGACAATTACCTTTGGCCGGTGTTTTCTTCTTTTGGGCGGTTTCTGCTGTGGTGTCTTGTTCAGATCAATTCCCCCATAATTTTTGTCCTCTGAAATGTACTTTTCCTGAAGTGATGTTGTAATGGCTGCAGATGATGAGTCTAGTCTGTTCAAATGTTCATCATGTTTTTCCTGAACATCTTCAGGTAGTTGAGATATTTGGACATTTTCCTGCTTATCTCTTTCCAGGCTTGAGATTTTGCCTATCAATGAATGTGGTACTGCTGCTACCTCAGGAAAAACACCTCTGGGTGGTTGAGATTTTTCAACATTCTCTTGCTCATCTTTTTCAGGGCTCAAGGTTTTGTCTAATAACAAATGTGGTACTCCAGCAATCTGTGAGCTCTTTGACTGCTTTTGCTTATCTGGTGTTACTGGCGCTGATTTGAAGGAGCTGGGTGCACTTGAGGATTCACCAGCTTCTGATCTTGGGGGTAAATTCAGGTTATAATTGGGCCAACAGGGGACTGCAAAAAAATCTGTTAACATACAGCATACAATATATCAATTTGTGATTAAATTCCAATTATATTCTATGCGAAAATTTGTTGATGTTCATATTTTCTGTGAATATTATAATTGGCAGTCACCAACTCAGAGGGAAGTTTCATGTTAGTCACCAAACTTTATTTTGTTCCAAAAGTGGTCACTGGAATTTTTATTTTTTATTTTTGTTCAGTTTGGTTTAGTTACTCAACTGAAATCTGTTTAGTTTTTTCTAACCGAATATCTGATGTGTAGACCTCCATGTTAATGCCACGTCAAAGTCTTCCTCATTGGACATTCCACTAAAAACACTTATCTTTCACCTATCATTATCTCAACCATGGAGGGTGTCGGGATGATAATCCTATACTCCATGAAGGATTATAACCAGTTTTCAGCAACTATCACTTATTCACCTTTGTCTAGGGCATGAAAAATAGATTTTAACTAAGTGACCAAAATGAA